AGCAACTTCTCTCTCAATAGCGGGAACCCAGGCCTAACAAACATGCAAAAGCAAAATGGTCTCTTCTTGTTGGAAGCACCGCCCAATGTATCCGACAGGTTGGGGGGCACACACGCCAACAGAATCCCCACAACTTGGGGTCCCAAAAAAAGAGCCGTGAATTCCCGAGGCTTTCCCTCAAGCAAACGCCCACCTCATAGAGGGCGCCCGCCCAAACTGCACGTTGGCGCGCCCCCCCCGTTTCAGCGGCCGAAGCCTCGGCCCTCGGCCGGGGCACCGGTCGCAGCTGGCGTTGAGCCACTCGGCCAAGGTGTCCAAGGCTTCCATCTCGTCCTCGAAGTCGATGACCTCCAAGGTGGCAATGTTCAGGTCGGCTGCTTCGAGGTGCGGGCTTGCGTTGTTTACATTGATGTATGTACAGATGTAGGCAGATAGATAGATAGATAGATAGATAGATAGATAGATCTATAGATAGATTAGATACAGGTGTAGTAAACATGTGTACATACTTGTCCCATCTACGCGGGCATCGGGGTACTTGAGATATACTCATGTGGATCACTACTGCAAGAAGGTTATATTTCTCTCTCTATATGTATATATATATATATATATGTGTGTGTGTGTGCGTGATGTAAGGTTAAAAAGACACATTAGAAAAGGCGATTTATTAGAATTGTGATTTTGTCCTATTGTTGGGCACACCCTTTTCGACTGTCATCCTTGTCCACGTTAAAGCCCACATGTCCGGTTTCAGCATCTTTCGGGACCACCTTTGCAGGCAACGGGTGACACGTCTCAACGCGCCCCTCTCCGGGCCGGCCGGGCCTCCTCCTCTGTGGACAATTGCCCCGGGGACTTGAAGGAGTACCTCGCTGCGCAACGCTAAACGGGGAGGCGCAGGGCCAAACACTGGTCAGCCCTCAACGGGGTCTAGCGGATGCTCAAAACCATGATCTTGCGGCTGGAACCCACTCGTTTGAGATCCCCTGACCCACAGGCAATGGTCCAATGTGCGCAACTCATACGCAATCATGTTCATTCTGGTTCACTCAGCAAACGATCAATCTCACTGGGTCTATGATGGGGTCCAAAGGGGGGGAGGGGGGTCAAATTGACAAAATCACAGTGTTTGGCCTAGCTCACTAAGGCTCACTGAGGCTTACCTTCGCTTACTAAGGCTTACTTGCCCTTACAACGCATTTCTGAGCAACAGTGCATGGTTGATGCTTTCTTGCTTGATTTGCCCCCTGACCCCTCCCCCTTTGCACCCCATCAGTCTAGTATAACCACACATTCTTCCCTTGGCAGATATGCCTTTTTTGGCAGCAAATGTTTCTGCGGGTTCTATCTTTGTTTTGCCCTTGTCTAACTTACTGCCATTTGTCGGCAGAGCCCAGGAGCCAAGGCGCAGCAGCGTGGCCGGCTCCGCCCGGAGCTGCTCTTCGAGGCCGGCGTTCACCTCGGCGCCCGCGAAACCGGAGTGGCGCATTCTGTGCCGGGAAAGCAGAAGTTGACATCTGCTTATGTCAGGCTGATTTGGGCCTTGGGGTCGGGGTTTGGTGGGGCTCCAGTTTGGGGTTGGCTCTTGGGGCACGGCTTCTGTGAGCGGGCTTGGTCGACTGCCAACATTCTTTTGGTCTGACCAGCCGGAGCCAAAGCAGGCGCATCAATTCTCGCAAGCCTCTCGGTGCTCCTCACGCTTAAACGTGTGGACCAGAGTCGGCGACCGCTGCAAACCTGCAAGCCGCATGCCTCCACACCTCATCTCGCACAGTTGTCAGCACATCCGCGCGGCCACGGCAAATCTGAGACGTTCGCAGTTTTGGTGTCGCGTGCTGGCACGTGTTTGGCAATGGCTGAAACAGAAGTCTCCTCCATTCGCCTGCCGCCGGATTGACACCAAAGCTCAGCTGCGTAGGCCCACGCATGTTTACGACAGCCTGGTGGCAATCACCATGATCACCCACGCAGCGCCCAAGCAATCACGATAGCTCGCTTCCACTCAGCGAAACAACGTTTCAGTCGGAAACAATCAAAAATGAGAAGAAGCACGAAGCACAAGCAGAACTGGCCCCGGCAAATTGTGTTTAGTAGAGGGGTAAGGGATGAATGGTCATGGTTCGCGTGGGGAGCCTTTGGGATGGTTCACCGCCGGGCGGCCAGCTTCTTCCATAGCTTCCCCGACTCGGCCGGGCGCTCCGACATCTGCCGCGGGGTCCTGGCCCCGGAAAAAAGTGGAACATGGAGGTGCCAAAGGGTCGCCGAAAAGTGATGCGGGTTCCTTTGAATGCGACATCCCACTTGGATTCCCTGAACTGCGACCTCCCCTCTTGACTGGATGGACGCCAAAGACTTCCGTGAAACTACAAAGGAGGGCCCCCCCAACCATCCACATGATTTGGCCTTGTTTGGCCTGGGTACCTTGTCACTCCCTTGGATTTGGTGTCTGCTGTCCGGGGAAGGGATGTGGGGATTGGGTCTGGCCTGGTCACCAGGCCCTTGAGCCAGGCCATGAGCTCCTCGGCGCTGGCCTCGACTTGCACTCCACAGCCCCCAAGCGCCCCGCCACACCAAATCTCTGGTGCCGGCTGAATGGATTAAGTCGAAAAGGCCGAGGCCGCGTCCATAAAACCTCGCATTGTCCCTCCGAATTGTCTGAATGGGGGCAGCAAGGAATATGATATTATAAGACCGGCTTCGCTTTTGGCCCGCCAGCCAAGACACCGGCAGCGTGCCATTCTCTGAGAAGAAGTACCTGTCCAAGCTTGCAGGTTAGCTCGGCTCGGAATGGACCCAGAGGAAACAGGCTCATGCTTCGGGGATTTTGAAGGTAGCTGCTAACCCTGGAAACTTCAGAAGGCAGATGCTGTGGACATCTGCAGGAACTCGTTTGGGAAGGCCCATGGTCTTCACCTATCGCTTTGCCTCAAGAGTTGTGTGTGCACATCTCCCTGGAGGCGTTGTATGCACACGCTTGTTCCTGGAAGCTTGCCGGAAGTGCGGCTTGCCCGTTGTCCTCTGCAAGTCGGGCGAGAAGTGCTTGCGATGAGCTGGGGTCCGCTGAGGTTTGTGGACAGCATGAACGTCTCCACGAGCCTGGCCAGCATGATCGACGAGCTCAGGGCCTGCGCCCACAAGCAGCTGCCCGAGCTCTTCCCGCTGATGGCTCGCTTTACCACGAGCTGCAGCAGCGCGCGCCGGCCAACTCTCCGCCTCAAAGACGACCTCTCAAACAGCGGCGGACCCACTGCGATCTGGAGCAGGCGTGAGACTGCCTCCTGCGCAAGCTGCCCATGCCCTTCGAGCACTTCTGCGGCGCCGACGCGTGGGAAAAGCCGCAGTGTGGGAGCGGCACTGCTACGACAGCGTGCTGGCGGGGAAGGCGGTGAGCGAGGACTACTAGCACGTGGCTTGTGCCATGGGCAACGCTGAAATCCACTAACTCCTTGCCACGCGGCTGAGTGAACTGACCTCTGGGTCAAACAACTTGGAGTAGCCAACCACCCAACCACCTAAACCTCCCCTCCCCCCCCCCAACCTCCCCCGCCAACCAAAACCACCTGCCCCAACCCATACCACCCACCAGCCCACCCCACTTGCCTGGGCCCGTGCCGGAAGCGTTGGGCCACCAGCGCCGCTTTCCCCGGCACGTCCAGAACATAAAGCTCCTGGGAAGAACCCGAAATCCCAACCAGCGGGACTGATTCCGGGTGGAAATGATACCAAAGTAGTGGTCCATTGGTCGATTCGCTTCCAACCGTGGCGCCATGACTCCCATCCAACCACATGGTTGCATGAGAGAACCCATCCAAGTGGTTAACTACGTGAGCTATAATCAAAACCCGGTATTAAAAACCTGGGTTTTGTTTGTAGCTCACATGATCACTTCACGGGGCGTCCCGGCCACTCACGGCAATCTATGGCTCCTGCTCTGCGAACTGCGGCCACCGGGCCGCGTCCACCGCCAGCGCCAGCGCCTTCTTCCCCACCTCCTCACGGATTCGGCGGCGGGGGGGGGAATGGGAGCTAGCAGCTGGAAGCCGTGGGGCAACCCAAAGGCCATAAGGCAACCCACAAGCAACCCAGAGTAGGCTCCATTCAATTTGACGAAATGTTCTTGTCCTTGCTCTCTATCTCTGCTTAGGCCTTGGCAGGCCTGATGCTTTGAACTGAGGCTGAGCTGTGAGCAAACACCCCGCGTCAGTCGCAAGCCCTGGCCGATTGCAACAAGCCAACACATTTGCAGTCAGAATGGCAACCAACACAGAAAGTAACCTTGCGCCAACGCATTTAGAACAACCAGCACCCATCAACAAAACCAACCCAGCCTGCCCTAGCGGGCTGGCTTGGAGGATGGCAATGTTAGGGGGCATCTTCGCTTTGGCTTCGAAAAGGGCCGGAAATCCCCAAGCCGCCAAATCAAACCACTAAGGACAAGACGACTTCAGTCGTTCCCAGCCTGACCAAACTCAAGAAACACCAAGCCCATTGAATCACATTGACTTCCAGCTGGCCAGCTCCGAACCAAGACAAAAACCTCTCCTTCTGCCTCCGCACCACCTCCCCCAGCAGCGGCTGCGCAAAGGCCGCCGCGCGCTGCAACGCCTCCTCCGCCTCCGCCGAGGGAAGCGGCGCCTGGCCGTCGACGGAACCCGGGCACGCTTGATGTCCCCAAGAAGCTGGTGGCCCCTTAAACAAGTGACAAACTGAATATCCCTTCAACATATATTCGTTTAAAAAAAAAAAAAAAAAAAAAAAAATCCTCGTGCAACACGGTATCCTGAAAGAATGATCCCCACCCAAGTCGGGGCAAAGCTGATGCTTTGAGCAAAGTTTGCGGCTTGGCGAGTGGAAGGCACAAGGGGGTGCGGCCTTGTTGTTGTCAGCGTGGACCGGTTCGACCATAGGGTTTTCGGCTTCTCTGTTGTAATGGGCTCTAACTTGAAGCCTGGAAGCCCTCTAACTACTCACCTTAAGGCAAAAGAACGGGCTTTAAAAGCGCTTCCAGAAGCTGTGCCTGCCTTAGCTGCCGAACAGGAGCTTTCTGCACAAGAGGCGTCCTGGGGCGAGGCACTCGATGTGGGTGAAAGCGCAAGCTGGCATGCTGAATTCATATCATATCCTTTCCACTCTGTATTCCGAGCCGCTTACGACCCTCCCGTTTACATATCACCAGGGAACGCCAAAAGGCACCTCTCCAGTGCGCCCGTCCTGGGAGGAGTTGACCACCAGCCATAGAAGGATAGCATCCTCCTGCGCCTCCAAAGCCTTCAGTGACCTCTTCGGGTCTGTGACCAGCAGCACGGCCTCAACTGGTCAGAGAGTCAGATGCAGTCCATCTACTTAGTGATCACTCCTTCAAAAGGAATGGTGAAGAAACAAAACCTATTCGGCCCTGCCTCTAAATTAATATCAAACACAGCAAAACCACCAGTTCGAAGACAAACTGCTAGGGCATTCGCATGGCCCAGGACGACTTTCCAGAGCATCTCCTCCCACCCAACGAAAACAAATCGGCCAATCTGCATCCACACCACCTTTCTCTCTGTGGCACCAGAACTCCTGGTTTCAAATCAGTTTCGATTTGCAACACCAACTTGCTCTCTCCCATTGGTTTCTGGTTGGCTTCCCTTGTTGCTAGCCCCCCTCTTTTGCTGCCCCCCCCCCCTTTTGGCCAGCCTAAAAACCCCAGCCTCTTGGCGTCTCCGGGGCCCCGGGGCCCCGGGCCGGCAGGGCGTGGGCCTTGAGGAACTCCTCGAAACGCTCCCCGTCCTCGTCCAGGCTGTCCGCCCCCGCGTCCTTCCAGGCGAAGCTCACCTCGCGGCTCGCGGGTCGGGCGGAGGTGACGCGTCAGACGCAGCTCCCGCTCAGGCGGGCCGAAGACATGGAGCGGCTGTGCCGTCTTCTTTTTTTTTGCTGCTGTTGTTGCTGTTTTTTTTTTTTTTAAACTGGACCACCAGGACGGTGGTCGGCTCACCTGTCTCCTTTTGGTTCAACCTTCCCGCCAACCCAGAAAAGTGCATCGAGCCTCAAGAAAAAGACGTAGCGAGATTCCATAAAGGGCAGAATACGAACCAACCAACTCCTTGACTCCAATGCTTTTAAGGCCCCCGCCAACGTGTCTAAAGACCGCGGCCTGTCGCCCAGCTCCGAACTCCGGCCTCGGCGCCCGGGTGCTGAACCACCGACACGGCGTCGGGCCGCTGCTCCTGGACCCACAAGGCCTGACCGCGCGGATCCAGCTCCGGAGGCCGCTTGGCATAAGAAGATGGGGATCAAAAGTGAACGGTACCAACCACAGCAGCAAAGCCAAATCCTCTAGTCGCAAGCGAGGCGAATACATAGTATTGAGGCGATTCTGCGGATGTTCCTTTCCTCTTTACACAGGCATACAGGAGGGTACGTGTCAAAGGGGGGTAGGCAAGCACCAAGAAGACATCTGCAAAGGTTCTCCAATGGCCTCGTACTTCAACCTGTACTCCTCCGCAAAGGATTCGAATGCAGGGATCATCTTCCTTGGCCGTGGGAGTCATGAGGCATCGCATGCTGCTGTTCGTCCCTGTACCTCAGTTCCTTGCTGTCTGGGACACCTTGCAGGCCATTGCCGCCGCATCCTTCCCCGGCATTGAAGGCATTTTCGAGATGACATTCCTGTTTCTGTTCCCCTCTTGGCACAACATGTCTTCCCAAGGTTGTGGCCTACATTCCTGCCCACTCCCCCTCCCCCCCCCAGAAGAAGAAAAAAAAGGGCGAGCAAGCGTCGGCGCCCGCAGCACCAGCCGCGGCAGCCCCGACGGCTTTACCGCCGCCGCCGCCTCCGCCGCTTCGGCGGAGCGCACCGCGGGCGCCGCGAGGCGCGCCGCCCAGCGCCAGATGGCCTCCGCCGAGTCCGCGGCCTGGAAGTCCAGCCGCGCCTCGGAGGGAAACGACCCACACGGCGGCAGCGGGCGGAAGGGGCGCCTCGTGTTCGCTGTCAACACGGTGGCCGTGACCTTCCTGGATCTTCCTGAGAACCGTCCCTACCGTTGTAAAAGCGGCGGTGCAATGGGGTTTTCAGACCGAGCATGGGGCAAGTTTAGGAGCAACTGGAGGAAGACGCCGGAAAAGTCGGGAGGCCCAAAAAAAAGGAGGCGCTGTCTTGTCTTGTGGCTGGGGGGAATCACGCTGGCGCAGCTCCATCTATGTCAGGAAGTAAAGGGCTGCTACAAAACCTGAATGAGTTTGTTGTTCCATCTGGCTTCTCGCCACTGCGGCTACGGATTCTGCTGTCCTATTTGCGGCAATGTTGTAGGCTTCTGGTGAAACCCGATTTTTTTTCTCTGGGTCATTTGGCTGGTGCTGAACAATGCAGCGTCCCAAGTGAAAAGACGTGTGATCCTTTCCCGCAGGCTCAATGGATCACTCCAACCAAACCGCTTCTCCGGCTTACAGCTTAGCACCGGCGCGTCCCGCGTCCGGTCGAAGTCGTGTCAGTGTTCACTCTCGTTGCCAAATTGTCTGCCCTTCGGGTTCTTTCTTCTGAAGGATCCTTGCGTGCCTGCCGCAAATGAGTGGGGAGCGTCTCTTCTAGCGGCTAACGATTTTGCAGTCACTGGCTTGTTCTGTCTGCCGCGAGCGTCAAGACCGCTAGGGCCGCACTGACGGCTGAGAATGAAAGCATTCAGGGACACTTGCCTGACCAGGAACAGCGCAAATCTGCCCAAGAACAGGCCACTAACTGCCGAACGCGGCTGGGGGAAGCTCATGGGTGAAGGCCCGCCCTGCTGGCCAAGTGCTGTCTTGTTGTTCTTGCCGATGAAGAACAACGCCGGGAACTCCTTGGCCCCCAGAGCGCGCATGGTGTCCTCCGCCTCCGTCCCATCCAACGCGACCACCTGGCGTTCGGCCATCTGAACCGCGTGTCACACTCGTCCGGTTGCTTAGAACGCCTAGGGCACATGCCCCAAGACGAGCAATACCGCATTCAAAACAAATGAAAGAAGCAACACTGAGGGACAACCGTCGGCCCAAGCGCAGCACCCTGCGCCTTCACCTCTGGCGCCTCCTCCTCAACAGGGTTGCTTCTACCCCCATCTTGCCCAAACGCCATGGACTTCAAACAAAAGCGAACAAGTGGGCACAATCAGAGTGGCTGTTGACCCCCCCCCCCGCACCCTCTCCTGCCCCCCAACCGCCCTACCCCCCCACCCGCTACCCCCTCGGCTTCTCTCCTTGATCCTGGCAGCCGCCTGGGCCATGCGGGGCGCAAAGGCCCGGCACGCCGGGCAGCTGGGGGAGAAGATCTCCAGCAGCACCGGGACCCGCTCCGTCTGCCCCAGCAGGTGCCGCAGCTTCTCCTTGATCGGGGGGGGGGGGGGAAACCAGCGACCCGACTTTCCCAACAAGTCGCATTCCAACTGAAGGAACGGGAATCCTTCTGACGGTTTGCTGTGCAATTTGGAAAACTGGGAACTTGACAAATGGTTGACCATTCTATATTTGACCAACAATGCAGTGATTGGCAATCAGGAAGTCCTTACCTCCCTTGGGGGTTAACTCCTGCTTGCTGTGGCCGATCTTTGTCAGACCACCAACCACTTTGAGGACAGCCGACATCCAACAAACGCAAACACATGATCGAAAGCATCTTTCGATGCGACTGGCCCTTGGGGAGGGAATCAGCCCTGAACGAGGAACCAAAACAGCACTGCAAGAGTTTAGATGCATGGTGCCTCTGCTCCCACGGGAGAGTGAATTGTTTAAATGCACCAAAGGCGTCGGCCGCTGGAGAATGGCACGGCTCCATGCAAATGGCAGGCCGAGAGCCAAGAACCAGGCAGTGCGGAATTCCAACTGCGAAAGTTTCGCAAAGCCCGGCAAACTCAGGATCCCCATCCCCCTAATTCCAAAGCATCCCACTGTCTTTGGGAAAGCCAGGGGCCGGGAGGCTTCGAGGTTTGAATTGGGATCCAACCCCAAGCTTTCCCAACGCAACCGGCTTCGCCGAGGCAATCGGGGCGATCGGATTGGGCAAACGGATCCTCCGTGTACTTGACAATGTGCTTCCCCAGCTTCACGTTGCCCAGCGCCGAAGGCAGCAGCAGGAGCCAAAGCCACCGCATGGCTGGCAAGCACCTCCGGAAAGCCTCGAAAGCCTCCAAAAAAGCTATGCTGCAGCCACCTGTCAGTTCATTGGCGTGCTAGCTACTTGGCTGATGCCTGCCTCTGCTTGCGTGTCTGTGTGCGTGAGACGCTCCCTTCCCCAACCAGAACAAGCTTGCATGCATGTTTTCCTCCCTCAGCTTGGGCTCAAGCTTGAATCACCCGGGCCTATGCCCCAAAACGTCCGCCGATGCCCGGCGGGGCAGTACAATCTTGAGCCTTGTGCGCAAGAACAAACTCGTCATATGCTTGGACACCCAAGTTGCTGAAACGAGGGCATGAACGAACAAGCATTCCAGCCAAGCGTGCCGCTGAAAGCTAATGAGTCCCTTAAAGGGTGCGTGTTTGTATGACTTTGCCGACAAACCTTGCTCAAATATCTGGGGAAAAGCCGCCTTAAACCGAACAATGAAGCCGCCCAATCGCCCGCAAGCAACGGTGTGGTCTGTAACTTCTGAGGGCGCGCAACTCTGAATATGAAGCTCCTCAAGACTGACAACTGGAGGGAGGGAGGGAGGGAGGGAGGAAGAAACTGAAAGGGCCGCCCGTCTGGGGGCCCCGGCGCCCCCGCAGCAACACCGCCTTCACCAGGAGCTCCACTACTGGGAAGCCCAGCCTCTGAAGCCACGGGGCCCCCACTGGCTTGAACATCCACTGCCTGAAAAAGGACATGGTCCAAGGCAAGGGCGTGGCTTGTTTGCAGGTAGGGCACGCTTTGTTGGTTCAATCCCATTTGGCCCAGCTGTGATGCCTGCAAAACTCAGCGGCCAAAAAGCCTGCCAGCTACTCTTGCCAAATTGGCTGCACCAGCTTGAGGCTTCCTTGCAACACCGCCACAAAGAGCATGTCGGTTGAGACAGGCGTGCAGATTGCCGCAAAAAACGTTGCCCGCTGCGATTGTACACGCTGGCTCTTGGAAACAATGGATGGATATGTCTTACCACTTGAGCAAGGGAAAAGGTGTCTTTCTCCAGTGGGGTACCTGGACTCAAAAGCTTTAAGGGCTTATAAATGGCTGCATCTCAATAGAATGTACCCAAATGCCGCCCTTGGCAAATGGAACCGAAGACAAACACCTCGAGCTCTTTAGCTTTGAGTTTTGAGCCGCGCCCAATCTGCTGACAAAGCTCTTCCCGGGTCTGAGGCGCGCACCCGCCGCGGTCCACTTCGCGGGCCTTCTGCAACACGGTCTGCACGAAGGCGTCAGAGGTCACCAAGGTCGTGGCCAGCCAGTTGGCCACCTGAAGCCAACGAAACCGTTCGGAATCCGCCGGGAAAAAGCAGGATGACTTCAACACCAGCTGGTGGTTCGGTGAAAAATGGCCTGAGTTGTTCATGTCAGGCCCCGAAACAAGTGTTACGAAAGCCTACGAACCAAGGAAAGCGTGTTTGGAAGGAGGCGCACCGCGTGACACGGCGTGGCTCACAGCTGTCCCATGACTCCCGGCCGTGAGGATGTTGATCATCATGAAGAAAATGTCCAGGATGGCCGCAATACGACCCACCAGAACCTCGACCCAACTGCGGGGAGAAAAGCACGCGCGCGCGTGCCAAATGGCCAGTCAGGCCCTTGACTTCTTGAAATCTCTGCCATCTACTGGTTGGGAAAATCTACGTTCTTCTATGAATACGCCTCTCTCTCTCTCTCTCTCTCTCTCTCTGCTCCACTTCATCCGCTCGGGTTGGGTATTTCCCCAAACAAAGCACGAGCCGACCGAGTGCTCAAAGCGGGACTCAGCTGAGACAGCAGCGCTGGCCCAGGCGCCGCAATAGTTGGCATCTGAGCGATGCGAGGCGCGACTGGGGCACTCCCGAGCGCAGTCCCCGAGGCTATGCCCATCGGAATCCCCCCCGTTGCCTGGCGCGATTGGGCCTTTCTGCTCAAACATCAGCTCCTTTGTGACAATGAGCTGGGGCGGCCCCCACTCCCCACTGATTTCCCGTAGAAGCTGCCCTTTTTGCAACAGCGGCAAAAACAGACGACCCGAACAACCCATTGAACACATCAAGACTCTCATTTCCACTCATCAATACTCATTCAAGAAACTCGATGCACATCATCGGCTTATATGAGGACCCTGAGGTACCGGGCTGTGCTCCGCGGCTTTGTCAAAGGCAGTGACCCCGGGGACGAAGGTCCACCCGAAGACCAGCACGAAGGTCCACAGCATCCTCGGCCGCCACCGCCCAGCTGGGGTCCGCGCTGAACTGCTGCTCTTCCGCTCTTGATTGTACCTGCTTGCTTGTGCTCGTTTTTGTGTATGTGTGTTGCTGCGGCTCCCTCCGTTCTATTTGCCCTTCTTGAAACCCCCCAGCCCGACGACACGCGCCAGTCCGCTGGGAATTGGCGAAGGCATTGGCGTCTCCGGGGCCGCGGCAAGAGCAGCCACAGCGCCGTGGCGATGCCCGAGGCGTTGAACCAAAAGGAGGCCTCAGGGACCGGCGGCTTGGCGGCCTACACGTAGGCCCGCTAGTCCCAGCTCGAATGCCTTGAACCACCACATTGAAAGGTTTGCCGATGTCGAAGCTCAAGCCGGAAAAGCTCCATCCAGCAAGCAAATGTCTCTCCACTGGTAGTGGGGAGTATGCAGAAGATGCAGCAAACCATCCCGGCGCACAAAATCAAACGCTCGCAAACAGAATCTTCTACCCCCCCCCCAGCAAAATCAACATGGAACCCAAAAAGCAAACTCGCATTGAAAAGGAGACTGCTCCACACACCCTCGGTGTTGGGTCTCCGTGTGAGGCGTCACTGGCGGCCAGGCGCGCCTTGACCTCATCTTCCAGCATCAGCGCCTGGGAGGAAGCTCATTGGTTGGTTTCCAGGCCGTTGGTTCTGGCGTTTCCTTGTGAAAAGGCTGGCTTCGTGCGTGCCTACGAGAGGAAATAGTCCGATGCTTCTGCAGGTCAACTCACACCATGCTCTTCTTAGACTTGGCCCGGACAGGTTCAGCGAAAACATCCGAAGCAAATCACTGTTGAAGAGACGCTGCAAGGGCTGCAGGGTGTTCAGGCTTGCCCAAGGCTTACTTAGGACAAATACGATCGGACTCCTTGCACGAACAAAAACAAAATGTGGCACTGATGGATTCTGTTGTCTGCGCCTTTTCGTGGCTGTAGGACACTCGGAAAGGCTGCACATCCAAGCCGTGCTTCGTTGTTGCAGCCGACACAGTGACAACGGCTGCACAGGATCGTATGGACAGACCGCTGAACCTCAGCCTCTTTCCAAACTGTCCGGCCGCTTGCCTCTTGGATGAGGACGGTGTTGCACACGAAGAGCTCCCTCATCTCGCTCACCCCGCTGCCCTCACGCCAGCTGGAGTGAATGGAGCTTGGGCTTTCGGGCCCATCGACCAAACCCAAACCACGGCCTACGCGGCGGCGGAGCGCCGCAATCCCGCAATCTCATTAGCATTGGACCCTGTGTGACTCATAAGGTTGCCATCCACGAGAGGAGGGTCCAGCCTTGCAGCCTTGACCCTCCACTCGGCTAGGGCAAGAGCCTCGCCCGACCCAAGTCGCCTCTCCGGAGCCCTGCGCGGCCTGACGGCGGGGAGGTCAACTTGTGCACCCGACCCCGAGTCCCTGTACAGCTCGTCCGATGCCTTTCTGGCTGGCGAAAGCCAACCGGCGACAAGAAGTCTCCTGTTTCGACGCGTTTGCGGCTTGCGGCAAACCTAGGCAAGAAAAAAAGGAGGAATGGATGAGTATCAGCTTGATTTTCTGGAAGCCGAGACACACGCGTTTGTGTATATATTGCACTTTCTTCCAAACATGTGCCTCAAACTTACACATGTTAGAACCAAATACCCTGTCCATCACCCACGCAATCTATGTTGCAAAGACCCGACTTCACATGGTCCATGTCCATGTGCCAAAGCTCGACGCCATGCAGCAGACCAAAAAAGCGGTGCTTAGGGGACCCAAAGAACGGTCGGGCGCACTGAGCCCAAGATGAAGCGGAACACACGGGGTTTCTCTCAGCCAGCCTTGATGCGCTGCTGCAGGCGCTCCGTCTTCGCCTCGCAGGCGCTTCGTGACGCTTTCTCTCATGTCGCAGGCTTTGCCGAAATGAAGCCCTGAGACTAAATGTATTAGGTGCAAGCCTTGGAACCCAATGACCCAGGTGGAAAGAAAAAAATCGCTTGCCACGGCTACGGCTTGGAGGTGAAAAATGCAAGTAAAGATGCTTGGGTCTTATAGGCGACTTGCAATGTCCTCAGCGTCCAACACGAAGACACCGCTCTCTCACGGGCCTCTCATTTCCTTCTTGTGCGATCAAATGCCTTTCAAAAAAGGCAAACGGTTTCCCACTGGCAAGCAATACACCAAGTCCCCTCACGAGTCTAACTGGAGCAGTTCTCAAATTGTATCCAGGCTTGGTTGCAACATGGCTGGCAAGGTTTGTGCCGATCCACGGTCAAACCCTACTGCAACGCCCCAGAAAGAGCTTGAGTGCACAAAGGTTTGGCATTGCCCTGCTGAGGAAACAAGCAAGGGGAGCCTTCTGTTGACCTGGCGCACATTTTGCCGCTTGCCACAGCCATATTGAACTGGTGGCCGCTTGCCGGGAGAAGCCAGCAGTACATCCGTCTCGCAGCTCAACCCGCTCAATCCTTTTCTATTCGAGCCCCGTAGGTTGGTACATTGATTCTATGGCTGCGCCAAAGCCAATGCCCCGCAATGTGTGGGCGGGGGAAAATCGCACATCGCCGAAATGCAGTGTCAACGCAACCTTTGCACTTTGCACGGTACAAACCCCGGTGGGCAAAGCTCTGCGTTGGCCCACAAACGAACAGACCATATGTCGGCAGCACGGAGACAGGTTTCACTACTGGCATGTCTTGAAGCGTGGACCAACCGCTGAGCCTGGGGCATGCCACAAAACTGGGTCAGCCAGCTGGCTTGAGCTGTGTGCTGTACACATTGTGCTATCGTGCACCTGCAACTCTCCGGCTTGTTTCCCAAAGCGCCCCAGTGCCCATGCTTCCTCATGGCACGTGCTTCCTCCCCGTGGCTGGCAAATGTGAAGCAAGCATGACGAACTTGACAGATGACAGGCACCAAACGGTCTGCAAGCCGGAGTCGGATACCGGCCACGCGCGCTTCTGCGCGCAGCGGGGCCGGCGGGGCCAAATCGATCCAGGGATTGCACCTCTGGTGCAGCCTGGGCAACACCTGGCCCTCAAACGGGGGCAGTGAGGCCGCAACTTGCGCTGTCCCAGTGGCCAAAGATGTATGGATTTGCTTGTCTCTCTCTCTCTCTCTCTCAGTTCGTCTGCGTTTTGTTCCCTTCTCCGGAAAACACACCCACTGTTCCCGCACAAGTGCCCTCACAGTCGCACTCCTCTCTAAAGTGTGAGCGGGCAAACTCCTGTTTGAGTGTGCCGCCCACAGCCATGCCAAGGAGGGGGACGCTGAACCAGCGACAAAAGCGGAACCGGATAAGACAAGGTTGACGAAAGCCCTGGCTGGATCAGGAAGGATTGCCTACAAACAAGGGAAGACGCTGCTCAATCAACATAGGCTCATGAATCAGGGTCAAGGGTCAACATTCTGCAGGGACATGTTGTTGCTATTCTTTCGAGATCTCTCCTGAAGGCATGAAATCACTCGCCCCTTTGCCGTGGCCAAGCGCGGTGGCAACCAGGGCCCGATGCACGTGTCCTGCGCCCCCTCGACACCTTCGCCGAGCAGCGGTGGGGCTACTCGACGCGGCTGCCCAGGCGTGCGAGGTGCGCGCCCAGCCTGAAGCTGCGGAGAAACACGCTTGCAAAGCCCTACGCGTTGTGATTATGCATAGGATGACCGTCATCCAGATTTGAAACTTGCGGGGTTCCCATATTCTTCGCGGGACACTTCCCTTGCCATTCAGGAGTCAACCCATCACCTTTGCATCACACTCTCTCACGCTGGGAAGGTCAGAAAATGATGGGCTCTTGAAATTGGGGGGGATATTTTATTTGACCCCGTTGCCAAGGAACACAAGTCTTACTTGGAGGCATCTCATTCCGAGGCGCCAGTCCCCGATGCGCCGGTAGCCCTCGCAGGAGGGGTGGACCCCGTCAACAGACCAGAGGCGCTGGTCCGTGCTCAGCACCAAGCTGTCGGGCTCCGAACACCTGCCACATGTTTGATGGAATTACATACTCTACTCTCTCACTTGTTGACTGTGTTTGAATGACGGTTTTTTTGCATCCTTGTGCTTGGCCCGCTCTTTGTGGGGTTAGAGATTTGTGAAAACTCTCTCTTTCACTTCTTGAGTCTGAAATGAAGAAGCATTGTTGCAGGGGAGTATGGGAGTTGATAATTGTCGGCGGGGTCCTCACCTAGGGCAAACGCATCTGGAATGGCCAAGTACACAGGCTCTGTTCCTTGCAAATCACGCAAAACAGAGAGAGAGAGAGAGAGAAAGAGAGCGAGATGCTTATATCAATACATATGTGTATATACTAGGTCCTCCAGTAGAGAGGTTAGAATAAGGGTACCCTTTTTGTCTGTAGTGCATTTTAGTAGGGAAACCTTCCCTAAAAAAATAGTAAAAGGGCACTACTGGGGGACCTAGTATATATATATACATATATACATATATATCTACATATATATATATATATATGTACATATGTATTTGAAGTTATCTGCAACTAAAGAAAACAAACACCACACTATGGACCATATTCGCCACAGTCTAGCTCCACCCTGCCTCACCCCATCCGCCGCCAGCGTCATCTTCTGCGCTTCGAATTGGCCGAAAAGAACCTCGGCCGTGAGCTTTCACGCAAGGAGACCGACTGCTTGAAGTGTTCGTCTTCCCTTCATAAATCACCCCAATTCAGTACAAACAACAATAACCAGACTCAAGGCTCAGCATGGAAACAATACAACCAACCGGTATATATACTCTGATTTGTCCAAATCGACATGAAGCTGACCTTTGGAGGAACCCTGGATGATAAACACCTGGTTGGTTAAAAGGCGGGTGTCCCAACCCTGGATGGCAACGTAAGCCAAGTGGGCCTTATCATACAAGGGCTTGCCAGGATGGGTCTCGGTTACATCTCGCCTGCTTGCTACAAGGCATGTTGTCCTGCTGTGTGAGACTGAATGTGACACCTTGAAACAAACGGCGTGAACTTGAAGCATCCGAAGGCCAGAAAGAGCGAGCTCAACTTGCCGCAAGGGCTTGATTTTGCACCCGGCATCCCCACACAAGGCCTACCTCCAGAGGAAAATCCCCTCAAGAGAGCTCGCGCCAAAAGCGCCCCGATCCGAGGGGCATCCACTAAATGGCACATCGGCCACGTCTGAAAGAGCGGCGCCTCCACATGGCCTGAGAAAGCGGCGCGAGCCAGTCAGGTGTGGCGGTCCAATCAACTCTCGTGCTTCCGCTGTGAGGGTGGCAACACACGCAGTCATGTAAATATGAAACTGCGCCTGCCTAAAGCAGAATGTGGTACAACTTGGCGATCAAAGGTGTTCAACAAAAGCGCGCTCGCGGGCCAACCACCAACCTACATTTTTTTATGGATGCTCCTACTTTTGAGCAACCCCCCCCACCCCCAACACCGCCACCACCACCACCACCCCTCGCGCCTAGCAGCCGCGGAACGGTGATGACCCCCTCAGGCGCCGCTCGCCTCAGTGTGCCGCATAGCGCCGCAAGGTCCTGCGTGCACGGATGGGATGTGTGCAAACATTTTGCAAAAGAGCATCTGGTCACCAAGTGTGGCCTCTGCACGGAGCCACTGGGTGCTTCAGGCAAGGCGGCCATACCACGATTGCGCAACTTGGACTTGGACATAAAGCAGCACACGCCCAATGCAAACTATCTTGTTTGAAGACCTGACTTCCGCGCAAAACGCGGCGCACATTTTGGCAAAGCGCAGCGCACTTCTCCTCTCGGAAGTGCGACGGCCAACGGCCTGGCGATCGGAGCTGAACTTGACCAGACCGGGATCCCCAAAAAAGATCACCCGCTCCGCCCGAAAGGGAGAACATATGGGGAACACGCCTGGAAGACCATCCAAAGATTTGTCCCACGCACAGCAAGGAAATGGGCTAGGATGACTTGGGATGTATTAGCCTTCATTCCCAAGGAGGTTTGATATAAACAGCACCGCAGCATTTTCACTCCAAGCGATGCGAATCTGATAACCCACCTTTTCCTGTGGGATTTGCGTTGGTATCCACAGCATGAATTTCCTCATGCTGTGGCCCAGTCAAATCGCCGATTTCCTCGACACATCGGGCTTACCCCCGATAAGCTCTGGATGCCCTGCATCAAGCAGAATGCATCTCCCACCACAGAGCTAACTGACTGACTGGGGGCCTGGTCCCCCAGGCATTCCCCAAGCGCGGCGCGCTCTTCAAAGATCACGGACGTCCCAACGAGGGGGGCCGGTGAACTAGGGCGGGATAGGGTGGGGTTAAAAATTAGCCAGTTTGGATCATACTTGAGCCAAAAGGCCCCGCATGATCCAATACACTCCTTGCAGAATGAAGCCTGTAAACCCAAGCCTTCCAACCTGATACAGGATTACATTCCCAAGGAGGTTTGATATAAACAGCACCGCAGCATTTTCACTCCAAGCGATGCGAATCTGATAACCCACCTTTTCCTGTGGGATTTGCGTTGGTATCCACAGCATGAATTTCTTCATGCTGTGGCCCAGTCAATTCGCCGATTTCCTCGGCACATCGGGTTTACCCCCGATAAGCTCTGGATGCCCTGCATCAAGCAGAATGCATCTCCCAAGGCACTCACTTTCACAACCTCTCCCAACGCACTCACAGGAACTCAGCGAAGGTAATCACTGCGCGGTACGGAAGACTCAGTAGAGCTGGAGGGAAAAGACTGAAACTCAGCTTGAAGTGGTTGGCCCTGTACCCTGGGACACTGGGTCCTAATCGGCTGATCACGTAGGCCCAATTGGATTTGGATGGAATGTGTTCCCAGTAAAGGGAGGCTCGCAACGCAAAGAGCAAACACTGAATATACGTCGCCATCTTGGCCAAGTCGGGGTTGTCACTCCTGCCCCTGATCAAACACATAAGACTGGCGAACTCCGCTTTTTCCGCGGAATTGGTCGGGTCTCGCCGTGAGGGCGTGCACCACCATGAATAGCTCCAACTGGGCTATTTTATGGTCGCCTGGTCCCCACATGTCATAGACCTGCGAGGGGATGATGGCCACAAAGGCTTCCCGGATCTGCACGCCACCGTCCTGGAAGACCAAGTGGTATCCGCCGGACCCTTGACGAGGGGCCTCCAAAGCCGCGTCCGAGGCAGCCACCACCCTCGGCACGTCCATGGGTAGGACCATCAACTCCCTCCTTGGGCGCATACTGATGATGGCCTCCAACACATCAAAAGCCGACAGGAGGCTGGCGCCGGCTCTGCTGGAGCCCCCGTACTGGTGCTCCTTCAACGCCTGGATCTCGCCCAAACCGAGGCGCCCGAAGAGGCCATGCTCCAGGAAGTTGACCATACCGTAGAGTTTTGCGGCTTGACCCGGGGCTGCTCTTCCTGGCGTCACGCATGAAGGTGAGCACCTTCTGCTCGAGTCGCTCTCGAACCCAAAAACGCGCACGCCCATGCGTGTGGATCTCCGAGAGGTCAAAGTCAAGACCCAAGAAGGTACCCACTTCCGCGGCTCCCTGGCGCTTAACGGGGTGCCCAGCAGGTCATTGAGGACGCCAAAGCTCCACTGGGCTGATAGGCCGTGGACTGCGCGGTCGGTGATGTGACTGTCATCGAAATACATGGACACCATGATTGCCAGAAAGCGCCTACCCATAGCTTCCGCCATCCGAGAGTAGCGGTTGAAGGAGGTGACCGCCAACGGCGCGGTACACCTGGAAGGCGGGCCCCTGCCATTCCTGGTGGTACCAGACTACCACACAGGCCAAGGCCTCCTGTCGCGACATAGGACAGTGGTGGTAGGCATTCGGCCAATCGAAACCGGCCCCCATCCACTGCCCCTGCTGCGCGAACCGCTCCCAGGTGCACTCCTGAAGGCAGGCTGCTGCAGCTTGAACGTGGAGCGCCGGGCGGAGCGGCGTGCACAAAACTAGTTTGTTGGCATCTCTTGACGATGCGGATTGCCCGCCCCGTGCTGCGTCGTCTATGAGACGTTGCTTGCCGGACGCCTGTGTGATGACACAGCGAGGTATGAGCCGGTAGGGGTCTCCTTTGGCATACCGCTTGAGCTGGCTCAGGTTCATCGGGGGGGTGCAGAACCCCTCCTTGTGATCCTTAGTGGACTGCTCGAGGACGAAGGAGTCTGTGGAACCCGGCCGCACGCCCGCGATGGTGGCGGCGTTGTGCTCCTCCCAACCAGCCAGCACCTCCGAATGGGCGATTGCCTCGACGGGCTGGTGGGGGAAGACTCCGTAATGAGGGGCATAGCCCACCGCGGGAAGGGGGAGGACGGTCGCATACGACCCTACCCGCCGGTCACATTTGACCCTACCCTACTTTGGCTTCAACAACCATGCCAAAATGGCAGCGTAAAGCTCCAATTCCACGACATGGCCACGCGAAACGCGCCGGTCACATTTGACCCTACCCTACTTTGGGTTGTTATCAGTGCCAAGTGGCAATACTATGTTCCAATTCCACGGCAGGGCCACGCGAAACGCACCGGCCACAAGCGACCCTACCCTACTTTGCGTTCAAGCAACATTGCCAGCTGGCAAAGATGGCAGCATCAAGCTCCAATTCCACGGCAGGGCCACGCGAAACGCACCGGTCGCATTTGACCGTACCCTACCTGACGGTTTCTTGCCAAATGCGTCACTTTAGGTCTTGAGGCTTTTACATCGCTTTCAGGTATAGTCATCACATCACTTTAGGGCTTTCTGGTTTGCTGTCCCTTCTTTAGTTAGTCACCACGTCACTTTAGGGTTTCTGGTGCGCTGTCACTCCTTTAGGCAGTTACCACATCACTGTAGGGTTTCTGCTGCGCTGTCGCTGCTTCAGGTAGTTACCACATCACTTTTAGGGTTTCTGCTGCGCTGTCACTTCAGGTATAGTCACCACATCACTCAAGGGTTAGGGTTTAGCTGTCACTTCTTCAGGTAGTTACCACATTACTTTTAGGGTTTCTGCTGCGCTGTCACTTCTTGAGGTAGTCACCACATCACTTTAGGGTTTCTGGTGCGCTGTCACTTCTTCAGGTAGTTACCACATCACTTTTAGGGTTTTTGCTGCGTTGTCACTTCAGTTATAGTCACCACATCACTTTAGGGTTTTCTGGTTTGCTGTCACTTCTTTATGTAGTCACCACATCACTTTAGGGCTTTCTGGCTTGCTGTCACTTCTTGAAGTAGTCACCACATCACTTTAGGGTTTCTGGTGCGCTGCCACTCCTTTAGGCAGTTACCACATCACTTGAAGGTTTCTGCTGCGCTGTCGCTTCTTCAGGTAGTTCCCGCATCACTTTTAGGGTTTCTGCTGCGCTGTCACTTCAGGTATAGTCACCACATCACTCTAGGGTTTAGGGTTTAGCTCTCACTTCTTCAGGTAGTTACCACATCACTTTTAGGGTTTCTGCTGCGTTGTCACTTCAGTTATAGTCGCTGTCACTCCTTTAGGCAGTTACCGCATCACTTTAAGGTTTCTGCTGCGCTGTCGCTTCTTCAGGTAGTTCCCACATCACTTTTAGGGTTTCTGCTGCGCTGTCACTTCAGGTATAGTCACCACATCACTCTAGGGTTTAGGGTTTAGCTGTCACTTCTTCAGGTAGTTACCACATCACTTTTAGGGTTTCTGCTGCGTTGTCACTTCAGTTATAGTCGCTGTCACTCCTTTAGGCAGTTACCACATCACTTTAAGGTTTCTGCTGCGCTGTCGCTTCTTCAGGTAGTTACCACATCACTTTTAGGGTTTCTGCTGCGCTGTCACTTCAGGTATAGTCACCACATCACTCTAGGGTTTAGGGTTTAGCTGTCCGATGGACGCCCGACAGCGTTCCTTCAGGTTATGATTGTCCATCACCATGCTGGCCGCGTACCACAGGTCGTCATCCAAAGTGGGAAGGACTTCCAACAGGGTTGCCGTGGTGGTCCACTGCAGGGAGGCGGCAAAATGGGCGTCTGCATCCAGCCCATATCCTACCTTGTGGTTGTAGGCCCCATGCTGCTTGCCCGCCGCCAGCCGCTGACACCTCCGACTAGCGTTGGACAAGGAGGGTGGTCCCAAGTAGCAAGTAAAGGGTTCCTGGTTCAACAGGTCCTCCAACAGGCCACTGGAAAGATTGGAACGTAGAGCTTGCGAAAGGCCAAAATTACATCCTCCTGAGGAAACCAGAGTGACATCGACTGCAGGGCGTCACCGCCGCGGATCGATCCCATGATGGCCGCTGCCCTGACTGAGCACAGAGCCCGGGCTTGCCTATGCCGCCGCCCAGTGACTCTGGGCAGGCTAGCCTTGGCATCCGGATGGGTCGCATCAAAGACCATCCCAGCCAGCGCGTCTGCCTCGCAGACACCGTCCTGGCCGCAATCACATGCCAGCCGCTTGCCCTGCAGCGAAGGCAGCTCCGCCTGCAAATTGGCGAGGACAAAGTCCACGTAGATCGTCCGTCGTACAGTGTGCCCCTGCACGAACGGTGATGCCCTCTGTGACCGTGGGACCCGGTGGGAGTGGTGGCCCTGCCCCATGTAAACCACGTCCGGCGGCAGCTTGCCATCTGCGAGTACGTCAGCCACCCGTACCACCGTAGGCAGCCGCGCCCGCTCCTCGGGATGCAGTGGTGGCAACCCGAGTGTGATGGCCAGCGGAATTGCCCAGCTGCGCATAGCTCTGGGATCGATATCCAGCCAGTGCTGCCTGCGGCCACACGCCTCCAGCGGCGGCATCCGTGGCACGTGGAGTCGGGCATGCCCTTCTCGGGCCGCCCACCAACTGACCGAGACCGCAATTGCGAAGGCCAGGGTGGCCGAATATTCCGCTTCTTCCTTCGACGGGAATTGGTGCCTCCCCTGGATGTCCTCCCAAGGATCCCACTCCCATGCTGCATGCTGATGGTGGCATTCGCGAGGGTGAATCAGCTCGATCTCCTGGATGTTGTGCCGCAGCCGCTGGTGTTTGCAACGCGCTGACATAAAGACGCATGCCGAATACGTCGTGTCATACCAGCGACCGACTCCATCATGGTCTCCTCCTGAGGGAGGGACCAATGGAGGCTTCGAGCCGGGTTCTCCCGCAGGGCCCCTCTGCCATCGTCCGCGATAGCCTGGAGCTGCTTCAGAATCCAGGAACATGCCGCACCCGCCTTTGGTTCTTGGGGTCAAGCCCGGGCAAACCTTCTGGGTGTACTTCAGAACGCAGTGGCTTGGGACCTGGGCAGCCGCCCGCAAAGGTTCTAGTAGCAATCTCTCTGGCCCTGGATTTCGTGGAGCAATCTAAACTGCGGCTGTGAAGGCTGCTGACCGCATCGTTGCCTCCAGTGGCTTGTTGCCTCAACGGGTTGGACAGGTCGTGCCCCGGGTCCAGAGACCAGTCGATGGGCAGCACCCTCCAGCCACAGAACAGAAAAGCCTTTGCCAGGGGCATGTTGGACGTTCCGACCCTATGAGGGAGTCCCCCTCCCCCCGAGGATCGCAGCGCACCTGTGCTGGCCGTTGGGGCACGACTGCCCCGCCTTGCATTGCCCGTGCTGGAAAGCTTGGCATAGCACGGTGCCATTTTTCATGGCGCGCGCGACCGCTCTCCCCACGATCGGCTTTGCCAACGGGGGTTTGCCCCCCCGTGCTGCCGGCTTGGCAGGTGACCCCTGCTAGCGCTCCTTGGTAGGCGCCGAGAAATTCCAGGCCGGGGCCCAGTGAGCGTCGCGTGCCTCGTATGTGGCCTTGATGACCTGGCCCAGCGTCAGGGTGGACTCCCTGAAACGGCTTACCCAGTCTGCCCTCTCCTTGGTGTCTCTCTGCAAGAGCCATCCGAGTCGGCTAGCATGGGGCAGGCTGGCCGAGGTGCGCCGGGCTCTCGCGTGGTAGCGCATTACCACGTCCCAGGGCGTAGGCCAGCAGCAACGTGAAGAGCCTGTCCAGGTACGTCTCCCAGTCCTGGTGCCCGGGCTGCTCGTCGTCCGGCTCCTCCGTCCACAGGCCTTCTCCAAGCTTGCGCTTCTTGCAAGGTTTTCACCTTCCAGAAGGATGTCACGCACAGGAGACGCTTGGACATTTCGAGATGTGGAGGCGGCCCAGGCCAGACGCGCCTCCTTGAACCAAGACTGCACGCCGACACCAGGTGCCAATGAACGGGAACTTGAGGCCGCCAAGAGACCCGTCACATCTTGCACAATGGGCATCAATGAAGGGTGCAAATTGTAAGTGGGGTATCTCCCCGCTATCAGCCACGGGCAGGGGCGTTTGCACGAAGGGGGCATGCAACACTTCCACAGCCGAAAGCCAGAGCAGCCGGGCCTGGCCGTGATTCCCCTGCTGCAGCAAATTGCCCACAGGCGCTTGAAGTCGAGGTAGGCGCCTGTGGACAAGATAGGACGATCCGTGTGAACGGCCAAGTCAACTCCTGGAACTGCCAACATTCGACAAGTAACCCTTGCCGAACATGCAAAAACCAGAAGTTAAAAACTAGCCAGTTTGGATCATACTTGAGCCAAAAGGCCCCGCATGATCCAATACACTCCTTGCAGAATGAAGCCTGTAAACCCAAGCCTTCCAACCTGATACAGGATTAGGATCGCCGACCTCACTCCCCAGGATCTGGGGCCCTGTAACTCGGCGGCTGGCAACCCGTGAAAATTGCAAGGTGTTGCCCCTTCAGCTGTCAGTGGGGGGGTGAAGCAACCCGCATTCCCAGCCCTTTCCATGTTGGCCGCAAGAACTGGGTCGCAACCCCTTACGCCCAAAGCTTGTCGGGTGAGGTGCTTTGATCCCCACCCACCAGTGATTCTTAACGCAGGGTTGGAACCCTCCCTACATCACATGCCTTGCACCCGGAGGAGTGGCTGCATCAACCCTGTTGCGGCACCGGCGCGCCCGCGCCTTGCAGCACCTTCTTGCCGTCGTTCACGCCGCAGAGAACCACCGCGATGTCGAAGCCTAGATCGATGACCTTTGGTCCGCCTGAGACGCCGCCCACAAAGCAAAAGATGGCAGGGCAGCTGGCTGTGGGTCAAAAATAGGTACCCAAAATGGCACCCTGGTAAATGGTCCCCTGGTGGTTTAATTTTGACCCATACCCAGCTGGGAATGAACAGCCTGGGCTGCTGGAGGACAACCCAGCTGCCCAGCGGCGCGAACGGTAGAAAAAGAGGGGGCCCCTTTGCGGTTGACCATGTTAGCTGGGGAGCCAAGAGCAAGAGGAGCGCCTTGGGGTGCGCTAAACGCTAACTAGCATATCAAGCCAAGGCTTCACTGGCTGTCACCACGGCAAAGTGGGCAAGAAGCCAAGAAACTAGGCAAGGATCAATATAGCCTTTTGTTGAGAATATGGAGCACACGTGCCAAGCTTGAGGGGCGTGGGCCAAAACTTGTCGGCTACCGCACCCCACATTTTTTATTTAAAAATAGAAAAATGAGCAAACTGGCAGAGAATATGGAGCACACACGCCTAAAACTTGTTGGCTACTGTTCCCCAAAAAAAACTCTGGCAAAAAGCAAAAGAAAACGAGAAACTGGCACCCCCCCAAAAAAAAGAAGCACCAGCAACCCGAAAACCCCACGGGCCCTACCCCGAAAAAAAAAAAGAAGTGTCGGGCCAAAGCGCCCAGCAGCGCGTGCAGCTCCCGCACGTCCGCGCCGTTGGCCGCCACGGTGCGCCACTCCACCGGCTGCCGCTGCAACTTGGCCAGGCGCTCCGCGCACGCCGCCTGCCGAAACCAGAGGCAGGCCATGCGGGCCATGCGGCGTACGCCATGGGAATCAAAGCCCACGGCAAAACCCCCAGTGAACGGGACCCAATCCAACCACTAAAATAGGTCCTAACATGGGTGGTGAATTCACCTACCAACCAAAATGGTTGGTTTTGAACAATATCTGGAGACATGCATGCACAAGGTGGAACGTTGTATGAGGTCAAGCCTGGCTCGATTTGGTCGTTGGCCAGAAGTGCCAACACGATTCCCCGCCCAAACGGAAAAGCAGGTGCGTCCGGGCAAAATGCAGCGAGCGGTCGGAATAGGGAGAGCCCCATGGCTTGGGATTGTCGGGTTGGTGGGACTTACCTCTCTCTCCCCCTACTTTTCAGACCAAAGTCACGCAGTGGTGCTGAAAAAGGCACGCCGACAAGATGCACAAAGCGCGCGCCTGCAGTGGGGCGGCCACTTTGGCCCCAACGCCAACCTTAAGTCAGCCACTCACACTGTAGCGGCTTGCCAAGACGAAAGGTGCAACTGACCACAAGCTCCGCCACGTTGTTATTTACTTTGTCACTTGGGCGCGCGCTGACAGAAGGACCCCAAGTTGCCCAATGGCAGTCCCTTTTTTGGTGAGTCACTCCCAGTAGGGAACCGGCCAGTATCCAGAAAAAAGGAACAAAGGGAGCGAAGCCATGCGACTGAGCAACTGGAAAGCCACTCAAACTTAGTGCCATCCTCGCATATCGAACCTGAAGCTAACTTGCTCCATATTGCACTCTGAATCTGCCAGGCTGCAGCAATGGAGTCGCCAACAAAGAGCAGCCTTACAGGCTTTCCTGGACCGAGATGCAACCGCGTTCGGGCCATGTTGAACAAGATGGGGCATTGAAGGCTTCTTTGTAGGCGGCTGTTGCGATCAGCGCCTTGTTTCATCCAGAAGGCGTTGCCCTTCCTTGGGGTATCTTCCAGCCGGCCCACCCCCCGAGACGGCCCCCCCGAGACGGCCCTCCGATGCGACAGTCCTTGAAAAGCGTGGCCGGCTCTTCCGTGGCGCTCGCCCAGCGGCTCGACTGCCGGGAGAAAATCATCGGAGAGCCCGAATATGTGTATATATATATATATAGATAGATACAAATATACATATATATATATATATATGTGGGTAGATAAGGAAGCTGCCCAGGCAATTTCTAACCCTTCATACCGGAGTTGTTCATCTGGTCACCGTATGGGGAACCACCGCCCCAAAGATCCGAAAAAATCAACAGGTAGCCCAGGACAAAGGGAAACAGCCTTGGAACATCTGGGGAGCCCGATCTCAAATGCAGCGGAAACAATGTAGAATACCGCTGCAAGTGAGCTGCGCACTGTGCAACAGATAAGGCCATACTTTTCTGGTGTCAAACCCCAAATGGGAATGGCACACATCACGTGGCCTTGGCTTGATCAACAACTGCCAGATGTTGGTCGAAACCCATTCCCGCCGCCCCCCCCCCCCCGGTGCGGGCGCTAGTTCGGGCGCTGCCTGCAACAACGACTCAGCCCTTTACTCTCGCAAGAGACCCTGCAAAAAAAGAAGCCTGGCTCCCAGCCCTCAAAACCCAGGTCGCGCACTTCATCTGCGCCACGCCCAGCTTCGTTTGCTTTCCAAGCCGACGGCCGAGCTTCCCCCGCCTGGGCACCGATAGCTCCACCGCAAGTGCGCGGCCTGGCCGAAGCCCAGCACCGACAGCCCCCCGGCGCCCACGGCGCCGCAGCGCAGCGCCCGGCGCAGGCGGCTCATCCTGACGCCGACGCTGCGCTCGGGGAGCCCCGGAAGAACCGGCTGCATGTCGAAAGTCGAGAAGTTGCCAAAACTTCGCGTAGAACCACCCGAACGATTGGTAGAGGGGACCTCCTTCTCAGACGCCCCCGAAAATGAGTATCCATTCTGACTTTCAGGCAGGCAACCCCAATAGCGGAAGTTGTTGGTGCTTATTGAAGGCCTCCCATACTTGGCCCATGTGTCGAGCCAAACAACAACCTTCTTGTTGGCATGCATGTGCAAAAGTACGTTCCTCCAGAATTTCCTCGTAGCCCAGTGCAATGATACATGCTATCCCGTCCTCAATGAATGTGAAACTGGAGGGGACAAGCTACCTGCCGGCCAGGAATGCAGCACGCGCAGCTCTGCAAGCATTCGCAAGCATGCACAAGCAAAGGACCGGCCTCGACCAGCATTGGCTCGGAAGTCGGGAAGAATGGTGAAATGGCTGCAGCGAGCGGTAATGTCTGCTAATGCAATAACACATGTCAAGAAAACACTGTTGACAAAGCTCACCCAGGACCTTGAGGCCTTGCCTGCGATTTGACCCCGGCCCTAACTCAGGCGAGTTGAAGCGGCACCGCAACAGGACCACATGCAGTCGTCCTAGCGACTGCACCTGCGCCTCGTGCACTTGAACCCTGGCAGTTCCGCTTGGGGCCCGGCGTCCAAGGCCTGCTTGCCCTTCCTGATTTTCATGGCCACCATGCCTCAAGAGCACCGAACCAGGCGCGCTCGAATCACCCAATGCAAACGCGCGCAGGCGCGGCTGCAAGCAGTGGACGCACGAGAAGGGGCGAGGGCCCGGCCGTTGCAAAGGCCCAAGAAGACAGCGAAGCCAAACTGCGCCTGGTGCTGGCAAGGGCACCAGCATGTGACGGAAGGGAGGGGCAAAGTTGTTTCTGCACCGCGGCTTCTGGGATGTTTCCTTTGATCAAGCTACTAGGGCAAATCGACAGGCATGGCCTTTGCAGCACACTTCGGGCATGAGGCTTTGACCCGCTCCAACGTTGCACACGGCCACTTCCTGTTTCTAGATTGCGGAAGAAGCAAACGTTGCTCCATGAGGATGAGCACGCCTTCTTGTACATTGACAAGCTTCGTGCTGCCAGTCAGAAAAGCGAATGGCAAATCCCAAGATGCACACGTTCAACTGGTGATTGGAAGACGGTCCCATCACAACAGCCTTCACCCAGAAGGTCATTGTCGGAATGGAGCCTCGGAAAGGCTTCACAACTGAATTCCCGCGCAGACACACAGGCGTCTATGCACATATGTACCTGTCTGCATGGATGATTGTATGTGTGCAGGCTCGTGGAACCGTAAGTGCCAGTATGCCTGCAAATATGCACGTATGCATGCATGTACACATGATGTGACATGTGCACATGATGTGACATTTGCATGAATGCATGCATGCATGTGTACATGCATCAATACGTGTATGCATATATGCATGTATGCAAGTATGTGCACGTACGCACGCATGCATGCATGCATGTATGCATGAATTCATGCACGCATGTACATGCATGCATGTGTGCGTTCCTAAACAGCGCAGGACAAAGTGCGGGAGAAAGTGCTGGACAAAAAACCTGTCCTGGGGGCTCCGAGTGACTTCCGAGTGGTTTTCAAAGGGTTTGGTTTTGCGTGCGCGAAGCCTGGCGGGCGTTTGCCTGAGGGTTTGTCCTGGGTTTATTGGGCCTAAGCACGTGTCAAACCTGTCCGGCAACTTGTCTAGGAGTTTGTCCGGCTGATGTTGCGCCCTCAAAGTTGTCCGGAGGGTTGTCTGGGGGGTTGCTGGCTCAGCCCTCTTGATACAACATCTTGTTGTTTATGCAGAACTGCCTCTGCCAATGCATGCACGCACGCACGCACGCACGCACGCATGCATGCATGTATGTATGTGTATGGCTTGTCAAATGCATGTATCTGCTCCTGCGTATACGTATCTCTGTCTCTCTGTCTCTGCGCCGCTCTGTCTCTCTCTCTCTCTCTCTTTCTCGATAAAGAATCAGACTGTTGTTTCCTACAAGTTTTGTAATGCTGTTAACCCAAGCAAACCTGTAGTCTGCACAGCTCCTGTTTTGCATGGGCTCATGGATGTAGTAAAAGCTCACGGCCTGCGCGCATGTACAAGCTATGTAGTACAACACCACATGTGCATTGACATGGCCCCTCAGTTAAAAGATCTTGTAGCATCTTTCAACTGAAGTGGAAATTGCAGTATTGACAGTAGTGATGCAAACAGATGTTGTTCATCCATGCTACTGTAGTGAAAAGAAAAGGTGTAGTCCTCAGTAGCTCACGCTGTTCAAGGTTCAGTCCCTGTCACACTGAACGGAGTTGGTGAGGAGTCACCTGATGTGGTAGTCCAGCATGTAGTTTCATGCATGGTTGCGCCAGTAGTCCTGTTGGGACTGCCGAAGATCTTGTAGCGCTTGAACCGTGTTGGGCTCGCTCGTGTAGTTCAGGATTTCCTGACCCGAGCCCCGTGTCCTGTTGTAGTCTTTGATGGGGTTGACCGGCATTGTGATTTGTAGTTGCCTAGTGCATCTGAACCATGGGTGTTGGTCAAGAGGTAGTGGCCGTACTATTCTGTAGTCTTCGCAAGGATGCATCGTGTAGCACGCTCAACCGTGCTGTCGTTGCGACGCAGGGTGTAGAGGTGTAGTAGTTGTTGGGTGTTGATCAAAACGCAGTAGTCCCAAACGTAGACATTGGACAGAGTGTAGTGTAGTGTGATGTTGAAGTTGTAGTTGACGAGTTGCGCCCGGCGTAGGGTGTAGTTGCTCACGATGGAGGTGGGTGGCTGATGTAGTCCCTGACGAAGTAATCGAGGGAATTGTCCACGCGTAGTTGCTATATGTAGTCGGTGGGTACTACAATGGTAACGTAGTCGTTGATGGTTTGTAGTGGTGTGTAGTTCTGTCAAGCTGTAGTAGTGCCAGAGATGAGCATCTGCAGCAGCATGCATCATCATCTGTAGTCGGTTGTAGGCTGGTTTGTGGAGTTTGCCTGGCAGTGAGTGAAGTGGGAGGAAAGGTGTAGTTGGCTCCGCAGTTGCTGCGGTGTAGAACAGGTGGGTTGTAGCTGCATCATCCTGTCCTGAAGTAAGAAAACAGCAGTAGTTCTCAACTGTGTGTGGAATGTAGAACTTGGTGGACTGGGGTGTAGTTGGTTGAGCAGGCATTGCTCGTAGTAGGATGGTCTGGTTGATGTGTAGGCTCAAGTCGCTCGAGTTGTAGATGTCGTGGAGGTACAACTTTGCACTGGTAGTTGAGTCGGTGTAGTCGTCTCTGGCGCAGTCAACATCGCCACCTCATCCGCAGGGATTGTAGTCACAAGGCGCTCCATGGCAGTAGTGACCTAAAGAAAAGTTAAGTGAGACTGACTGAAGCCGCCAAGCATGCCGCCAAAGCCCAAGTGCCATTACATGTACTTTCTCTTCCTTACATACCAAATTGTGAAACAGTTGCGATGGTCGTTCGTGGTGCTAAAATGTGTATCCGAATTCTCAATGAGCCCGTGTAGTGTTTCTTTGCTGATGCATTTGATCAACCAATCTGCGCTGTTGTGAAGTGTTTTGATCTTAAGGATTTAGAGGAATTTGATGTCGATGTGTTTTGCTCGTTTGCTTGCGCCTTGTCGTGTAGCAATGGGTTTGCCTGCTGTGGAGTCTGTGTGAATGCGTAGGTTGAGCTTGCTGCAAACGCTTGTTTCAAGTAGGAAGTTTCTGAGGTGTAGTCCCTCATTAACTCCTGTGCAGATTGCGTAGATGCTGACTGAGCAGAATTCCCTACTACCAGTAAATCAACTTCAGGTTTCAACATCATCTTTCTTGGAACAACAGTTGCATTTGGCAGCAGAACACAGGCTACAATAGCACTCAGCTCGCTGAATCTGAGCTCGCGCGGTGGCGTTGTAAGTTGTTGGCTCTCTTTTGTGGGATTTATGTAGGTGCTGTGAGGTCTCGTGCTAGTTCTTTGGTTGCGTAGGCAACGTCTGGTCTGGCGCGCGCTAACCATTGTAGGTTACCAACCATTCTTCTGTACCTGTTGAGGACCTGTTGCGTTGTTCGTGGTCGAGTAGCGTTTCATGATCTATTGTTGGTTTGTAGCGGGCAATTCCTGGAGCGGTCACTGTGTTGCAGTTGGTCATTCCTGTCTCCTCTGTGATGTTGTTGATGTAGGAGTCCTGGAGTCCAAGAGTGCAGTAGTTGCCAAAGTGCTTGGTGTTTCTTCTCAGGAAATGTTGTGGTTCGCCAGCTTCGAGGTAGCCAATGCGCTTGAGTAGTACCTGCTTCTGGGTTGCCTTGAAGACGGCGACAAAGCACCAACAGGTCGTCCACGTACACCATGATGTAGCAGTCACGAGCTGCATTGGTGTAGACCTTGGGTTCTGACAATTCTAACCTTTTGTACTTCAGCCAGGTAGTCCTGCCATGCTTTAGGCGAGCTGCGAAGCCCATACATGGCTTTCTTTAGCCGCCATAGTTTGTTCTGTTGCAGACAAAGTTCTTTAGGTGGCCAAAGGTAGATGTTGCGATGATCGCATGTAGGAATGTGTAGGGACGTCGCCTAGTTAGTCGCGCTACCCAGCTCGGTCGTAACATCTGTAGAGTGAAGGGCGTTCGTAGTGCCACGAACCTCGGCGTAGAAGCATAGACGGAGTCTTCATCCTCGATCTTCTCGGTGTAGCCTTTTGCGACGATTCTACTTCACACGCCTGGTCATTTCTTTCTGTGGACCCACCTTGTAGAAAAAACTTCTTTGATGACGTTGTCACTGACTGTAGGCGCATCTACTTCGTCGTAGACGTCATGTAGTTTCATTTGGTTTGATTTGCGCTTCATTCCTTCCAGTAGTTGCGTTTCGTCATAACCTTGATTGTCGAAGATTATGGGTCGATCCTCTGATGTGTCGTCGTTCGTGTAGGAGGTGATGTGGATGTTGTCGTTCGGTCCGTCGGTCGGTGAAGTAGCCATGGGGCTAGCCAGCAGTGGTCGTGAACTTGACGCCAAGGTC